TACTAAAAGAAAAGCATAATAAAATATAAATAAACACTCAGATGATCTCAATAATCACCTTAAACATAAATGGCCTGAACTCACACGTCAAAAGATGCAGAATAGCTGAATTAATCTCAAAACAAAATCCAGTCTGCTGTTTACAAGAAACTCATTTTACCGACTCAGATAAGCAGAAACTTAGAATTAAACATTGAAAGACAGTTATATAAGCAAATGGTATCCCCCCAAAAAAATTGGGGATAGCTATACTTACATCTGATAAAATGTATTTTCAATTAAGAAAGGAAATAGAGATAAAGATGACATTGTATATTACCTAACGGTCCAATGCAACAAGAATAAATAATGAAATAACATAAATATATACGCACTGGCTGATGGAGCATCAAAATACATAAGACAATAACAGAAATTAGGAGAACTATTGATAACAACACAATAACACTAGGGTATCTTAATTCTCCACTTACAATAATGGACAGAGCAACAAGACAGTGTATAAATAAACATCTTTAACTGGGGAGCTAAACCAAATAAGTCTAACAGGCATCTATAGAATAATTCATCCAAAACTGGTGCAAACACACTTTTTTCAATGCACATGGGACATTTTCAGAAACAGATCATATTTTGGGACACAAGACAACTGACAACAAAACCCAAAAGATTGAAATTATACCTCATACCTTCTCTGCCCACAACACTTTAAAACTAGAAATCAAATATAAGTAAAAAACAGGAAAATTGTGACTGTTTGGAGATTAAACAACATGCTACTTATCAACACTTAGATAAAATGAAAATCAGAACAGAAATTGAAAAATACCTGAGATAACAGTTAGTGACCAGAATCTATGGGATGCAGCAACAGTGGTCTTAAGTAGGAAGATAATTACAGTGCCCACATTAAAATTTTTTTAATTCCAAATAAACAAAACATCACACCTAAAGTAACTTGAAAAAGAACAAATAAAACCCAAATAAGCTGGAAATAATAAAAAAATAAGAGCAGAAATAAATGAAATAGAGATCAAAAAGATTATACAAAAAAAGGGCCTCCCCGGTGGCGCAGCGGTTGAGCGCTGAGTTGCAAAGCTGCTCGCAGCCTCTGCAGCGCTGGTTTGATCCCCGGCCGCCCGGGAGAGGGTCCCACATGGCGCGCAGACCTCTCCTGCCGCCCGCTGCTCCCCTCAGCAGTGTACTTCGGTCCTTCTGCCTGTTCTTCTCCCCACTCTGGCTCTGGTGAATTCTCTCACCCTCCTGCGCTTCTGACTGTACCGAGTGCTTGTATAAATAAATAAATCTTTAAAAAAAATTATACAAAAAAAATCAATGATGATAAAGAGGTGGTTCTTTGAGAAGATAAAATAGATAAACCTCTAGATAGGCTACTGGAGTAAAAAGAGAAACATTGATAAACAGAATCACAAGGGAAAGAGGGGAAATCACTACAGATAGCATGGAAATAGAAAAAACTGTAGATCTATTAAACAGTTTCATATACCATTGAATTTGATTACCTTGAAGAAATGGATAAATTTCTAGATCAACATAATCCACCAACACTAACCCAGAGTGGGTCTGCTAGAGGTTAATGGCCCGCTCAGCCATCATCCTAGTAACATTCAATTCTGCCCTTCAGTACAAGGTCATTTTAACAGCCCGGTCAATCAGTTATATGACCTAAAAGAATGAAATGTACCAGACCTTACAAGGCTCCTTTCAATTTAAACAAGAGCAAGATGCTTGATCACCCTGGGACAATGGGTATACATCATGAGGTACGACTGTGAATGTCCAGGGAGCCATTGACTTTACATCTCAGAGTAATGTAAGACCTTACACCCTAAAGACTGATCAATGGAATGCCTTGTTCATAAGACTGGAGCCATGGGTGGGGTCCTGGGGTATAGTTTCCAATACAATACTAGGCTGTCAATATATGATCAGCAGACTCACAGTCCCCTGAAGCCCTAGATAAGCATCCTTTCATTTTCCACCCCCCCCCTTTCTCTTTGTCCTCCTACCACATGGAATTTTTTTTTATAATTTTTTTTTAATAGAGACATGTTTTTTTTTTTATTTATTTGTTTGTTTTGTTTATACATGCACTGGGTACAGTCAGAAGTACGGGAGGGTGAGAGAATTCACCAGAGCCAGAGGGGAGAGCAGAGCAGGCAGACTGACGAAGTACACTGCTGAGGGGAGCAGCGGGCGGCAGGAGAGGTCTGCGCGCCATGTGGGACCCTCCTCCGGTGGCCGGGGAGCAGCCGGGGATCGAACCGGCGCCGCAGAGGTCACGGGCAGCTTCTCAACCCAGCGCTCAACCGCTGCGCCACCGGGGAGGCCCCTACCACATGGAATTGATGCTGAATGATCATTCTATCAATAAAAAACCAGGATCTTGCTCTTTCAGCAGCATCCCGCATTGTACAGTTTGCACCGCGACTTCCTCTTTTTCTTTGTCAGTGCAGTGTTGTCAGCACAACAACCCAGGAAGAAACAGATGAACTGAACAAACCTATCACAAATACGGAAATCAAATATCTGAAAAGCAAAAACCCCAAATCAGATGGGGTTACAAGTGAATTTTATCACATTTTCAAAGAAGAAATCTAATGCCCACCTTGCTTAAATGTTTCTTAAAACACAAGAAGAAATGCTCCCAAACACATTTTATGATACCAACATTATTTTATCAATGAAACCAAAGACAGTACAAGAAAACAAAATAATAGACCAATATCCCTGATAAGCATTAATGCAAGAATTTTCAACAAAATGTTAGAAAATCAAATTCAATATATAACACAAGAATTTTGTACCATAATCAAGTGGTATTAACCTGGGCTAATAACAAGGGTGGTTTAAAATACATAAATTAATGAATGTAAATACACCATATCAACAAAGGTAAAGGTAAAATTGTTTTAATGTCAAGAAATGCAGAGAAAGCATTTGATAAGCTCCAACACCCATTTATAATAAAAACTCTAAATAAGATGGGAACAGAAGGAGCCCTCCCTCAATATAATATATATATATCTCACAAATCAACAGCCAATATAATACTCAATGGTGAAAAGGTGAAAGATTTTCCCATAAAATCTGATATAAGACACAGATGCCCACTGTCACCATTTCTGTATAACTTAAAACTAGAGGTTTTGACCAGAGCTATCAGATGTAACTATATTAGGTATAGCAATCATAGGAAATGAAGAAATCAAAATAGCAAAAGGGATGAAGCCATCATTATTCAGACAAAATAATATGTAGGAGAACTAAGTCCTCCATCAAAAAGTTATCAGAAGCAGGGCCTCCCTTGTGGTGCAAGAGAGAGGTTTAGCACAGCACTATGAATATATCTGCAGCCTCTGCAGCAGGAATTTGATCCCTGGCCAACCAGACAGATACCCACATTGTGCAGCAGGCCTCCTCTGTCTGGCCCACTGCTCCCCTCAGCCATGTATTTCAGTTGATCTGCCTGCTCTGTTCCCCACTCTGTCTCTGGCAAATACCTACAACCCCTGCACCTCTGGCCGGTACCCCTATTCTTGTATGCATAAATAAATAAATCTTTTTTAAAAAAAGTTTCAGAAACAATAAATGAACACAATAAAGTGCAAGTCTATAAAAGAAAAAATCCACAGCTTTTTTATATACAAACAACAAACAAGTAGCAAATGAAATTAGGAAAATAACTCCATTTTTAATGGCTTCAAAAAGAAGCAATACTTTGGAATACCTTAAATACCTTGGAATCATACCAAGAAAGGAGTTAATAGACCCTATTCAACAACATCTCTCTCAAACCTTTGGTCTTAAATAGCCCAGGTTCCTGAGGTCAGCACCTGAAACTGTAAAATGCTTTTGGCAAATACTGCTTGAGAAGTAGACTCCACTTTGCAAATGCTTTAAGACAGGAGAACAAAGGAAGCCTTCTGACACGTTCTGGAGAAAGGACAGACAGGCTGAGAGCGCAACCGGAGCCACAAGGTCAGGTCCATGTGCCCCTTGTACAACACGAACACCTGCATGCTGGGTGCAGCCCCACACCCCCTGCTGAGCTGGGAACCCTGACAGTCGACAGTTGGGGCACAGGTGAACACACCACAGCCTTCTCTGGTGTCCAAACAGAAACTTCTCTTCACCAGGCCTCCTGGTGGTGGTGAAGAGATGGCAATGGTTATCTGACAAAACAGAGTTGGTCAGAGTAGGATTACTGGCCATTATTTCAGTCACCTGCCCTCTCTAAAGCAAAATTTAGAGAAAATATTAGCCTGGGACACGGGGTAAACCACAAGAGCAGCTCCCTCTAGGTTTGCCTTAGGACCCTGACCCCTAAGTGTCACCAGGCACACTGGGGGCATTTTCAAAGTAAGCTGTCATGTTCCAGGCGGGGGTGCTGGAGACCCTGTCTGTGCACGCTGAATCCTACATTCTACACTGACTGGAAATTATTTCTTTCGAAAAAAGAAGGAAGGGAAAAAATTTTATTTTTTTTAATTTAAATTTTATTTTTATATTCCCCAAACAATTACAACCCCCTTATTTTGACCCCAAGCCCTCCTTTCCCCGCCCTCCACCCCCTACAGAGTGTCTCTGGTTCATAGTTGTTTGTTGATTTTGATATTTTCTTTCTTATAGTTATTCTTTGGGGAAAAATTTTAAATGGTAAAGGAGGACAATTTCACAATTGTTACTTAGCATATGTATAGCTGTCACCTACAGGCCACTTAAATGTTTTAAGTTATGCAAATACGTAATTGGACTCAACACACAGAAAATGTAAGATTTCCGCGTTCGCCTGCTCCTGCCCTTGAGACCCGCCCCAGAGACCCTGTCTGGGCGGAGCCCCCGCAGCGCCCCCTGCTGAGCGCGGCCGGGAGAGGCAGTGATTCTCAGCACGGACAGCAGGGGGCGCGCGACCGGCACGCACCGGGGTGACAGGTGCTCCCCGCGGGCGGTAACCGCCCCAGAGCCCGCAGCCGGGTCCTTCTGGCCCGCGGGCCGCGGGGCGGGGAGCGCCGGCACAGCCCAGGGCCCCGGAGCGGCTTCCACGCGGGGAGCCTCGGCTGCTCTCAGGTGGGTTTAGCCCCCGAGGGACGGCTGTGGCGGCTCAGCGCGAGCAAGAAGCGCCCTGAGGAGGCGAGCGCCGAGGTGCGAGCTCTGTGGGGCGCAGGGACTCTGGTCCGTGAGCACCGCAGACCCTGCATTTGGGCTTGGCTCCCGCTGATTGGCTTTTCTGATGGTATTTGAACAAGGCTTAGTTTACAAAAACCCATTCATTGAGCAGTCGGGAAGTCCGTGCCATAGACATCGTGGTATTAATACTTCTTTTTTACCGGTTTCAGATTGTGTCTTGGGAGAAATCCGGATACATTCAGAGAAGCTGAGAAACGAACACGCCCCATTGTAAATATCAGGACCTTCTGTGAGTGATCCGGGGCCCACTGCTGAGTCAGATTAGACCCCAGCCCAAGGTTAAAAAAAAAAAAACTTCCAGTGAGTACGCTCTTTTATAAACTTTACTGCTCGATGTGTGTGTCAATATTGAAGCAGGTGAAAAATATTGAAATCTTGAAAAGTAACAGATTGACAAAACTTGTTTTTATCTTAAATATATTATTTTTGCAAAAAAGGAGAATTCATTATGATTTTATTTTTCAATCTTCAAAGGAAACCAACTTATCAGTTCATTTGACAATATATTTGATTACAATACATCTCATAGATATGACAGCAAGCTGAGGTTACTTGTGGGAAAGGGGAGAGGCAGTGGGAGAACTTGGTAAAGGGGGTCGATTTTATGGCCTCCCCTGGTGGCGCGGCGGTTGAGCGCTGGGTTGCGAGGCTGCCCACAGCCTCTGTAGCGCCGGTTCGATCCCCGGCAACCGGGCGAGGGGCCCACAAAAAAAAAAAAAAAGAAAAATAGGGGGTCGATTTTAGGGTGGTGGATGCAAAGTAGACATTTGGTGAGGATATGATGTGGTAAATATGAATGAAATTACAATTCTGAACATGATGTTGTCAACCAATGTGACTTCAAGTAATTTTGATTTGTTCCATTTGTTGTTTGCTTACCTGTCTTCTATTGAGAGATTTTTTCGAATGTCACAATTGCTCAGGTTACAGAAATCTCACTGATGGTCCCCCACTGTGACTATTAAAATTGCCAAGATCACTCTAAATTTGGATAAACTTGAATTAAGGAAACTTTGTGAATGACTCTTAAAAGGAAAGAGTGATGTTGTATTTTCATTAGAATAAAATGAATGTTCACATCATCTGATCCAACTATTTCCCATTTCCTCTCTCTGGCTTACTTCCATCCTCAGATACCATCTTCATGGGAACCAGTGCTCCATGCAGCACACACTTTCAAGGCTCCTTTGGCTGCTGTGGGAAGGCGCTGTCTGCAGGAGCATGCTGCCTTGTGTCATGTCAAGGATGTTGCTGCAGATCTTTGTGAACTTTTCCCACTGGGTAGAAAACACCTGATGACAAATTACATGAACATTGAATCTATGGATAGCGTATACATTGATTCCATCTTATGGGAATTAAATATTGCCTGTATAAACATTAAACATGATTCTGTCCCACCAGCTCATTGATTTGAAAGACACATCCACAGCCTCTGTGTGATAACTGAAAGGCTTGCCACTGGTATTGATCAAAGATGAAATTTTGCTAATGCATTAAATGAAGATTATGTGCAAGCACATGGGGCATGAGGGGAGGGTGAGGGTGGTACACTTGCCCCGTGCCCTGAGTCTGCAGGCACTATCTCCAGCTGCAGGCTGGTTGGGGAGTGCTCTGCATGATCCAGGGCCTCTTGGTGCCCAGATACCTGGGGAGGGTTCCAGAACCTTTGTAATTGTGAACCCTTCCTTTTCACCATGGACAACATGTCCTGAATTGCATGGAAAAATGGCTGCCTTGCAAGCTCATTCCAGCGATCAACTCCTGTGGTATGAGATTCTGTGGCAGTGTCAGGTGAGAGGACTCTGTCCAGGAAATGCACATGGACTGCTCTGGGGCAGGGATCTTGGGTAGGGGGGGAGGAAATGACTGAATTCTGGAGGCACTTGGGGCATTACAACTTGGAGAGTATTTAAGTGTCAAACCATATCTTTAGGTAAAGAGCTCAAGAAATATTTTCAGTACAGATGAACTGATGAACCATAGAGATAGTATATGGAAGTTAGAAAGTGAGAGAATAAGCAAAAACCTCCTCCCAGAAGCTGGGAAAAACCTAGTGGATGTCCCACTACAGTGAATGTTCAGGATCTATTGATGTTCTGAACGGAGTGGGTGAAGAGATGGAGGATCCCTGACTCTGGTAGAGTCAGTCACTCTCATGACATACTGGGAGAGCGTGTGGCAGAGCAGTGTCTGTCTCCTTTGACTTCTTTGGAAGGTTTGCATGAGTGAGGGCTCTAGAAAACCCTCCAGAGAATAAATAATAAATCTTCAAATAACACAGACACAATATGTGTCTGTGTGGCTCATTAGAAGAGTGGCTCATTAGTCTTGAGTATTGCAAAGCATCAGAGACCTTATCTGGTGGTCTCAGAACAGATGGAGGACTCAGGTGGGTTGTTTCTTTTTCCCTAACTCTGTGGTGTCAGTTCAGAGACTGGTTGCTGTGTTCAGCCCACATATGGTCAAAGTATTTACATATAAAGAGAGAAGATCAAATGATTTAGATTCCAATGATTTAAATTTTTTTTTTAACAAAGGGACACTTTACAAAATTAAAAATAAATCACCATCATGAGCCCTAAAAGATGTGAATTGGCATCATAATTTTGGGGGAAGAAATGCCTTCTGCTCTTTTGTGTTCCTTCTGTAGCTGTTCCATCATCAACAGATCTGCAGGGAGTAAAGCACACCGCTGTAGCCCTACCAGTCACCCCAGATCTATAGGAATCATGGCATCTGCTTTCTGAAATTCTGCCACATTCCTATCTTGGAGCAACTCACAGACACTCGTTCATCAACCTAACCAGGTATTCCTCATGCCATGTTTTATCTGTTCAGGTTCTTGCCTTCCTCACATAGAGAAAAGATAATCGTGTTCTGAGTTTAAAACATGCCCTTTGCACTATCAGTGAATTATCGTATTTATGGAAATGAGTCTTTGTCTCTCTAATCTCTTGCTGGCATGTGAATTCTTTTTTTTTTTTTTTCAACTGAGACACCTCACCTGTTCCAGTGCCATATAAGCTGGATCTTAGCAGGGAGGGCTGAGGGCTGAGGAAGCATCTGGCAGGAACACTTTATTCCACACACCATTCTTTTCAAAGTTAATTGGAAACTTTGAATCCAGGTATAAATCTGTTTTACTCCACACGATGGTGGAATTTTTAATTGTCATCAGATTAGATTTGCAAATATTTCTGGAAAAGATGTACATTGACTCGGGTCCTTCCTCTCTACCAGGTTGATGAGAGGAGAGCAGAGCCAAGCACCTCTGCCCCTGCCACTGGACCCTGCCTCAAGCTTGCTATTGTCTTGGCTCCAATGACACCATCCCGTATCCATTTAGAATCTTCCTGGGCAGGATGAGTAATCAAAGCAGAATCAGACTGGTTAGGAAAGGAAAAATCAGTGTATTACCTTATGCACTATGGGCTTTATGATAACATGGAAGTTCACTGGCTGAAAATGCCCTTGATAGAGATGATGCTACATGTTATGCTGAAGGGGGCCCCTTAAACATAGGCACCCCAGTAACTTCATTCATGCAAAAGTTATATCAAACCCCTAAACAAATCCATTCTATTTACCCCTTTGGGGAGTGATTTTAAAATGCCTGGAGGTAGGGTGGGCCTCCCCAGTGGCGCAGCGGTTGAGGGCTGGGTTGCGAAGCTGCCCACAGCCTCTGCAGTGCCAGTTCGATCCCCGGCCGCCAGGCAAGGGTCCCACATGGCGCGCAGACCTCTCCTGCCGCCTGCTGCTCCCCTCAGCAGTGTACTTCGGTCCTTCTGCCTGCTCTGCTCCCCGCTCTGGCTCTGGTGAATTCTCTCACCCTCCCGCGCTTCTGACTGTACCCAGTGCTTGTATAAATAAATAAATAAATCTTTAAAAAAAATAAAAATAAAAAAATAAAATGCCTGGAGGTAGAGACTAACATGAAAAACCTCTTTGGCAAATGTCTAGGAAAGACTTTAGACATGTTAATGAGGCTGGTTGCCCAGCTTCTAGCTCTGAAGCTGATCAAAGACTTTTTGGCACTAGAGGGGTAACAGGGTCAGGCGTGCAGTAGAGAGGTGCCCAGGACTTACTATGCAGGAGTACCATGACCTGGATACAAAGGCCATCGAAGAGGCCCTGACACAGGCGCCAAGTAGAATGGGGGAATGTAAAACTGTCGGCATTGCTGAGATTGTCAAAGTTGAAGCAGTTATTATGTAAGGAGTGTGCATTTTTCCTGATTGTGTTAGGAGGATCGAAATTGTGTTTGGCGACCAGTTCCCCAAGCCCGCATGTTGAAAGATAAGGCCTGTAAATCCAGTCCTCAAAATTGTTAGTAGGTTGTTTAATGGGAAGCCCTCAGATGGCCCGAGCACCACAGTGTGGAGCAGACGCTGGACAGACAAGTGCTGTGTGCAGAGTTCGCGCACGGCACGGACAGGGGACAATGAAGGAGCCCATGAGTGTGTCCCGGTGAACACACCAGGGCTCTGGACAGCAGCCTCGACACACCATGGGCAGGGCAGTGCCCAGCAGAGTTCACCGCAAGTGAAATGGTCCCTAGAGGCTGGCGCAGCCCGGGGAAAACCCTGAGGAACTCAGGAGGCGGCGCCTCTGGGCCCAGGACTGGCTCTTGCCCCTAGGACAGGGCTCTGTAACGGCTCTCGACTCACCCGCAGAGACACCCGCTTGGTGCTGAGAAGAAGGGACACCCAGGGGTGGGAAGGCCACCACTCTGGGGGAGGAAGTGAAACTCAAATCCGTGCTCTGGCTGAGTCGCAGCCTGTTTCCCACAGTGATAGAAGAATTGAACAGCTGAAAGACCCGCGCTTGGGTTTTACTGACTCCTGGTCGGTGACCCATGGCCCGAACATATGGCAGCATAGGGCCGGGAATCCTGGGCTGTTTGGGGTGCCTGTGTGGGGCACGGCCTGAGAAGCCTGCGCTGGTCCACACCCACCTCCAGACAACAGTAAATGTAACATTCACACAAACATGTCACTCTGAGCTGCCGCTCTCATCCTTCATGGCATTGATGAGGGAAGTTGACGTTTCAGTCAGAGTGTTTTTGTCTTTTTTTTCCCTCCTCTGTGAAGCATGTCAGTGTACCGCAGGACCCTCCAGTCTCTTCTTTGTTTCTCTGGAGACTGTGTTTCTGGTGTGTGAGCACAGGGACCGGGGTGAGAGCACAGAAGGGCAGGCAAGATGCTGTACTGAATGAACCTGGCAAAAAGAGAGTGGAACCATTTTCAAAGAAACGCAGTGATGGCCTATTGCACATAAATATCCAGACAGAGTGTTTGCAACCTACACAAAAGAACATCTTACTCTTCAGCAGCCATGATTTTTCTCTCAAGAGTGGTGTTAATCTTCCTCGTTGTTGTTATTGCTAAGATCTTTCTTCATTGACACAATTACAACGATGGCATTATATCTCCAGTTTCTTTGTCATTTCTGCAAAGGATAAACTCCTGGTGTGTGAGCACAGAGTGGTCTGGGGAGACTACAAAACAGAGAACCCTGATGGCAGGAAGCATTCCTTTCCCTCCCCAATGCAAATGCCCTACGAATTTGGGGGTTTCCTTTCCACAGTCACACACCTTTCATCAGCTGCCTCTTTCTCTGGGACCTCAGCTTGGCCTGGGGCCATTCAGTCCTTGCAGCCTGTGAGTGTAAGACAGATGAGGAATAATATTAAAGTAATGATTGACAAGGTGACTGCATGAAGCAGGAAAGGATAGTGCAACTTGACATGGTAAATACTGAACAATAAAATAAAACAGAAAAACAAACGTGAATCATCCCAAGTGTGGGTAAGAGTAGGAGTCCTGCTGTGGAGGGTGAGGTGCAGGTGTGTCAGGCACCAAGCTGCGTTGGGGTTTTCTCTCATTGGCTAAGATTTTTCTCTTGGACTCACAGTTCAATATGAATATGCAAAAACGGAATCCAAACTCAAAGATAATGAAAATCCCTGACAAGCCTGTCTTTTAGATGGAGAATGACTCTTCAGAACAGCTTTCGCTTCCTATAAAACTACCCCAGGGCACACTGCTAACCCTCTGTGCCGCAGCAGCAGGGGTGTGGGGGGGGGTTGGGGGGGGCGGTGTCCAACACGACTGCATCTTCACCTCTCCTATGTGCACTGGGTGTTTCTCATGGCAGAAGGCAGCACCGCAGGAACATTAGCCACACTGGGAAAATGAAACATCTTTCCAGGTTTCTGAACTGGGGGCGTCCTCGGGATATTAGTGCTGGAAAGTACAGACCAACGTTCAGCACCGGCTCAGCTCCCAGACTCCACACTCCACCGTGTGACCCGCAGGAGAGGTTGGGCCCCGATTCTCCCAGAGTCCAAGATGGTTGAAAGCACATTAGAGCACAACGCTGAAGTCAATTTTTTACCAAGTCCTGATTGAGGACCTTTTTATTTCTTTGACTTTAGTATGTAGC